GTTGCAAAGACAAGCAACACACGAGTGATTTTTGGCTAATTTGCCACTTTTGAACGCACTAAGAATGGATTCTGTAAAGACCCACTCTCCATTACAAATGAATCACATTCCTCCAATTACTTCTATCTATACAGTGTTGTCCAGTACTGATAAGTAAAAATAGCCCCTGGAAATGATGCAAATAACATCAAAGAAATAGCTTGTTCTTTTTACTAATCTGTCAGTTATTTTGCCACTACTCTATGCATTTATACTGAAATAAATATAGATATTCTGTCTGCCTAGCACTACCTTGTTACAACTCTCCATAAAGTAGGTAGCAGCATTCTCTCAATAAAGTTGCATTTTTATGCCAATAAGAGGTGAAAATGTGGGTCACATCTTGGAAGAAACTGAATGAAGCTTTGTGCTAATGACATACGTAATTACTTACCAAAAATTTCTTAGAGTGTTCGTCTTTCTGTGAACACTAGTGCATTATTGGTTCTAGGTCAAAAGTTTTCCTTATGAATTTCACAATGGTAAAAAAAAAAAAAGGTTATGCTTCCAGTAAGCATAGTTCCCATGTCATGAACACTTCTGAATCATCAGAGGCTACCAAACTCATATGTTAATTGATCTATCTTCCCCTAGAAAAGGAATTTTATGTTTATCATAACTAGAATAAATAACAGTAATTATTTACAAATTCTTCCAGTAAACAGAAAGATAAGCTAAGTTTTGCATATTCCAGTAATAGTAGAGAGCCAGCTATAAATGCCATCATTAAGAATTTCTAAAGTGACATAGGACTTGAGCTAGAGGTTAGCTTCTTCTTAAGTAAAAGCCACTTTACCATGTTGTCACGGTAGTGAACCTGTTTAAGAGAATTAGATAAATAGATGAGAAGTTGTACAATGATGAGAAAAATAACCAGTTCTTTTGAAGCAATTTATTTTAATTTTTGTGTGTGTGTGTAGGCCAGACCATCCTGAATCACTACTGTTAATTCCCATTGTCATTATTTTATCAAAATTCTTTAATTAATTGAAAAATAATGGCATCAAAGAATTCATTAACTCACTGTACAGTTATTTGTTGTATGCCAGCTACTGACAACGTAATAGGCCCAGCTCAGAGCATACAAATACGGGTTGAGGGCAAAGGCTATGCAATAAGCTCTAAAGAGACTGGAACATTTCTCGTCCCCTGAACTCACAAGAGGTGACCATCAAAAGATCTCTGTCAGCATAAAATTCCATGATGAGAGGAATTTGCCCAGAATACAAAAAGGAAAATGGAGAAAATTAAACGTGAGGTAATAGAGTTAGAAAATTACAGTAATGAGCCTTATATTTTTCAACACAACCCAAAAACAATAAAAGAAGTCAAGATATAAAATATATTCTGAATCCCACCAACTTCTAAAATATCGGAAAAACTAATTTTATGTAAAAGGGAGCTACAGAAAAGAAGCCCTAACAGAAAGAAACCCCAGCTAAGTCTCCTGCAAAGTTGCTAAAAGGATCAAGAGAACGGAAAGCAGAGCGAGGCCTTCGCCTTCACAGGTGAGGAATGTCCACAGACAGAGGAAACGAACGCTCATCGCTCTTCCACAGTGAACAACTACGAAATGACGCGGATGTAAGCAGGAGCTGCAGAGGCTGTCTTAAGAGATGCAAGAAGCGAAAAGGAAGAAACTTTTTGAAAGGACGGAAATTAAAACATAGAAATATGAGAGAAGTTGATGGATTTAGAAGATAGGTAAGAAAGATATATGAGTACTCCGAATCATAAAAAAACATTTAAGCATGAAAATATATACCAAAAAATAAGTCAATAAAATTTTATGATACTGTGCTTGTGAAAATGATCCAAAAATGACCAGCACTAAAATATATCCTAATAAATGTCCTGGATTCTAAAAAAAAAAAAAGAAAAAGATAATCATTTGGTCATCTAGGTAAAAGAAGATATATTCACAAATAAAGAGGGAGGGAGTAACATGAGAGAGAGAGAGGGAGAGAGAGACAGAGACAGAGACAGAACTAAATAGGAAATAGAGAATATTGCAAATACTTCCCCAAAATACAAATTACATTGCTTTAAAAAATCTTTCAATATATGCTAGTTGATTTCATTTATATTACAAGTTAAATTCATTGAAAAGAAAATTTGTGGTATCTTTTTGCTTCTTTTTTGTAAAACTCTTTTTGATTTGACTTCTACTTTGAGTAACTAGTTTAAAAATAACAATACACAGGGCCAGGTAGATAGCTTCGCGGTCAAAGCACCTGTGTGGCAAGCGCAAGGACTCACGTTCAATCCCTGGCACTGTATGCCATGCCAGCCCCACACTGAGCTGGCCACCAAACTGGGCATGGTGGCACACCCCTGTAATCCCAGCACTGGGGAGGCTAAGACAGGAGGACCACTATAAATCTCAGCTGCGTAGCAAGAACTTGTACCAAATAAATATATAAACAAAATAAAAGATTTTTTAAATAACAATACACAGTGTAATAACTACTGTTATTCTCATATTATTTGACTATGAAATACTCTTTTATTTTTCATGAAATAAACAAATTCATGGAACAATTACTAATGTGTAATCATCTCTCATTTATATAGTCTCATTCCTCACCACCCAATAAAATATCTTTATTCCATCCCTAATAATTGCATGATGACACTTTGCAGAGGATCCTACCCCATAAACTCATAGATTCTAATTTACCATATGCCACTTTAGACCATGTCATAGTGAATGTCATTTCATGTAGAAACAATCAGCATGTGTCCAAAGAGGTTCAGCCCGATCATCATTCTTTCTTGGACTGGGAAAGCAAGGCAAATGTAGAGGAGAGAGATATCTGATGAATCCAAGATGTGCACCGGTAACTGATTCCTTCCTCGTAAACACCAAGTTCATCCATTCAGTGAGCCACCAGCAACTTGTATCATCTATACACTATACTAAACTGAAAGCTAGCATAATGGAAATCATTACTTCTTTCTAAGCACCCTAGGCACACACCCCCACACACTCCTTTCTCTTCCATGGATTCCCCCCTTCCCATCTTTGCAGGAAAGTATATTGTATTCATACTCCTGTTCATCTTTCACACCAGGCATCTAATATGCCTGAAAATTCTGCAGTTTCTACTTTCAAAAAAGATAACCAGAATTCAGCCCCTAATCTCACATCCAGCACCACTTCCCTTGCTTTAGCAACTGCCATTGCTTACATGAAATGCTGAGATGAGCTCCTTCCTACAACCCTGCCTCCTGCATCTCTTTTCCCCTCCAGATCCCTCTCAAAATCAAAGCCAGATGAATGTCTTTAACACCATAGTTAGATCACGTCACTCATCCCCTCGGAGATTTCCAAGGGCTTTGGTGTCTTTCCGACTAACAGCCAGAGTTCTTCCAAAGGCTATCAGGAACCTTGATATCCTGACCCCATGAATGCTCTGCTTTCACCTTTTGCCATCCCCCTACCCTGCTTCCCTCTGCCTCAGTCCCACTAACCTCCTGGCTGGATCATGAACGAACTAAGCACATTACGCCCTTGGCCCTTTATTCTGTTTATGGTCCTACCACAGCTTGCCTTCCAGTTTCCTGCAAATGTTAGCTCAGATGGACCACCTCTGAAAGCCATTTCCTACTCAGCTCTTTAAAAAATTGTAATTCCTGTCTTCCCTGAGTCTGTCTCCTCCTTCTTCATTAATCTCCTCACTTATTGCCATTTGAAACACTGTACACTTTTACCTTCCACCTTGGTTATAGTCTGTGGATAAGGATGCAAGTGTTTATCTTATCCACTGCTGTCTTCAACTTGACCCACACTAGTGTCTGAAACATAGTAGGTGCTCAGTAAATGTGCCATAAATTAACAATAGCTGAGTAAATCCATTTGACCTAAAATGATTTTAGAAGATAATATGATGAAATAATGTAGAAAAACAGTAATTTAAAATTGCAATGAAGACAACCTTGAAAAGGGTACCATGAGTTTGGGTTTGACTGATGCAGGTTGAGGAACAACATTAAAGGCAAGTAAGCAAAGATGTGAAATCAGAACATCTCTGGGCCCTAGCGAGGAAGTGGGGTACTCTGACTTTAAGGAAAGCTCCAGGTTAGACTGGGGGTGGGGAGCTCAAGAAGAGATGAAAATGACCCAAGATCCCAACTTCCTCCCTCCTGAGATAGGGAAAGGACCTCAAACAAACTGGAAGGTTTAGAATGGTGATACAGGAAGGATCTTCAACTTTTTCCATCTACCTACTCCTGTACATTTTGCAAAAATGCTCCCAAAACAACCCAAGTAAGCATTTCCAGGCCTTCCTGAATTACACTTCAAGAGACATTTTGGAAACCTAGCGGATTTACCCCATCTCAGGGCTCCAAGGCACCTATGTCATGGGATATAAGCAAGGAAAGGAATGACAAGGCTAGACTTACAAAGGCCATGTTTTCGTCTTCCTCTAACCAGGACAGAGAAAGGGGTCCATGAGTTTATGGCTCTCTCTCCTGTTTTGAGGGAAGGTGAAAGTGCTCCCCTATCCTCTGTGCTATGGGTGCTGAGGCAGCAGTGAGGGTTATAGAAATAACAGCAGTGAGGGCCAGGGAGATGGCTCAGTAGGATAAGCGCTTGACTGGCAAACACAGGGATCTGAGTTCAATCCCCGGTTCTGCAAAAAAAAAGAGAAAGAAATAACAGCAGTGTTGTGGTGCTGCAACTGCCCACCTTCTTGGTTACCATGAATTGTTTTCTGAAGCCAAAAATGCAAAGAATAAACACTTCACTTGCTCATTTTTTTAATCTTCATTTTGTATTTGAGTTGAGAAGACTTTCTCTGTGTTGTACCACAACCTGCCCTCCACGTCCTTCTCCTCCCACACATTTTGTACCGAATCTGGCTCTGCAAACTTCCATGTTCCCTTTGGCTGTGCCAGCACATCCCTGCCTATGCACAACCACTCTGACAAGCTCGCCTTTCCTTTCCTTCTTGTAGTATAACCGGTACAAGCAGTATGGTGCTGAAGAGTGTGTGCTGCAGATGGGAGGCGTGCTGTGCCCTCACCCTGGCTGTGGAGCAGGGCTGCTGCCCGAGCAGGGCCAGAAGAAAGTCATCTGTGAAGCTGTCAGCAGCCTGGGCTGTGGGGTGAGTACCATCTGCGCCCTAGGCCGTGGCGCTGCAGTCAGTAGCTTTTGCGAAGGTATTAGTTGTTGTTGTTTTCACTTTTCCTTTGAACTCAGATATCTTTAAATGAATATATAAAACCCAGATTGTTAAATTCTCATATAGGGCCTCAAATATGAAAGTTAAATATTGAATTAATTAATATGTATTTGTTTTCAGAGAAGGAATTGGCTTAAGGTTATCTGCTTTCATCGCTTATCTAAGTATTTATGCTGACATAGAAAGCCACTACACAAAACTTCTGTACTTTTCTTTCAGTGTTCTGATGATATAAAGACATATTCTTTCCACAGAGCTAACTTTCAGTAGACTGGTTGGAGGAGAAATTAAATTCCACATCAAGGAAGCTCTAGTGACCCTGTGTGCCTAGGTATTTCAAGAAATATGATGGAGATTAGGTGGGATAACTTGAACTATTATTGCATCAGAAGAATAATTTTAAAGAGAGTTGAGCAAAGCTAATAGTGCCGATTAGAGAAGCAGGCAAAGCAACATGGCAAGTATTTGTTCCAGAAGGTCAAAGCACGTGACTTGAATGGTATGGGAATGAACTTCCGTCCGCAAGCTGGTGGTCAAAGTGGCAGAAAGTACAGCTCCAACACACAAAAGCTTGCTAAATGGTTGAAATGACAAACAGATAATAATCTTCATACTAAATTTCACACAAACTGGTAAGGGAAGAAAACATATGTGCATATAAAATAGTATTAAACTTTGACAAGAAAAATTTCTTTTAAAATTACAACTTGATAAGAAGCTGGTGGAAGAAGGGCAAGGGTAATAGGACATACTACCTATGTCTGATTTTGATAGACTACTCCAATAAGTTATCTGTGCACAGGTTGGCATCTTTTATCATTAGTAAAGCTCCGTATCTGTTATGCAACATAGCTAACAAAATCCTGGTTGTGTAACAGATTACAAAAAATTGATTAAAAATAATGGGATTCCTGATGCCTGGTGGAAAAGAAATATCTACAGATTAATAATCATAGTTGTGTTGGAATACAAACTGAAGTGACATTTGCCATCCTTGGGAATTATGGAAATCAAGCCACACTCTTCAGCCTTAGTCATAATCAGTCTTGATTGTTGAGTGGCCTAAAGCTGGCTGCCAAATTCTAGATCAGAATGCTGACAGATGTGTTGTTTTAAAATGAGTTATAATCAGTTTAGACTCATGGCTAAAGTGTGTGTATTTTCCAGATAATTGCCTACTGTTGTTCCATCCTTCCTATAAAGCTAGATTTTTAAGATGTTAATAGTCTTCACAAGGTGGCCATTTCCTTTGGCTCATTTTTGGCATTCAGTCGTTCACTTTGTTTTGAGAACTTTGGAGGTTTCATGTAATTTTATGTCTTGAAGTCCTTTACATTCCCTTTTGAATGCAATGTGACATTGTAGTAGCATATATATTTAAGCTCAACATCATGGCAATTTATGTTAGAAATCAATGCAATTGTTTCAGTACCTTTAGATTAAGATAGTTTAGGGAAAATTTTTACCTAATGGCAGATGCCTAGGTTGAGGATGCACTTTCATTCTTTGGAAACTCTAGTTAGTGGGTCTTTATTTTAATTTTGATTTGTTCTGTTTCGTTTATTTGAGGAGGTATGTTTGTTAGTTTATGTATTAGTTATCTACTGCTGTATAATAGTCCCAATTTTAACAGTTTAACATAATGACCAATTGTTATTTTTTAGCATTTCTAAGAGTCAGGAATTATCCATGAGGACCTTAACCAGATGGTCCTCATTCAGGATCTCCTAGGAGGTTAGGTATTGCTGCCTGCAGGCTTGGCTGCAACTGGAAGTCCCACTTCCAGCATGACTTAGTCCACCACTATTGGCGAAAACACTTCCCAGCCAGGAGGTCACAGCTCATGACCATGTGTTCTTCTTTTATGCTGTTTGTCCCCATGACATAAGCTAACTTTTCTTGGATCAAGTTATCCAAAAGGAAGTAGAGAAGGAGCCATGTCTGTAGGACCTAATTCCCAGAGCTGTACTCTATCACTTTCACTATATTCTATTTAAGAGAAACCAGGTACTAGATCCAGCCTACACTAAGAGAAGACAGGTTTTACCTTAAAGAGTATCACAGAATTCATGGAAGAATTGTAAGCCACCACAGTTTACAATTTAGAGAAGTTGGGAAAAGAACGAGGAGAAATGATGAATTAATGGATGTACCTGTCATTTTGCTTTCATTTTCCGTCTGCCTTTACTGCCCTGATGTCTAATTCTGTCTCCCCTACCACTATTCTTTTTGAACTGCAATTCCTATAGACCTGATGGCTCAGCAGAGACCAACTGACCTCATCATTGCGCTTTTTGGACATTTGCGACCTTCACAAAAGGCTGTTAATTTAAGTGCAGTGGTACCTCAGTTCATGAGCTTAATTCTTTATGTAATTATGGTGCAAACCAAATTAGATGAGAACCTAATTATATTCATTGGTCAGATTCAATGTAGACTTTGTGGGGGAAGTCAACTCAGTTCTTATCCAATTCAGTTTGCAACCAGAATCATGGCAAGAAGTAAGTTTGTGAACTGACCTAGCACTGTACTAAAGAGACTCCATAGCAACTAAACAAGAGGTTAGCTTGGGTGCATTTACTTCAAATCTTATCAACAGAAGCAAAAGTGTAACAAAAAGTGTATTATGGTTATTCAAGAAATTTTCTTGTCACAAAAAGGTTCTCATGTCTGAAAGGCTGCAAACTGGATTGCTTGATATTGGCAGAATTTAAAAAGGAAGCCTTAGGATACACTGTGATATACCCATAGCCAAGTTTTTGGAGCTGAAACACACCCCTGCACTGAGTTCTGGCCTTGGGATAGCTCTAACCTTTTTCATCATTTGCCTGCTACTAGGCACATGAATGGCCCTCTGCACATCCATTACCACTGCTATCAACAGTTGCTACTTCAAGAAACAGGCTCCAGTGTTTTGATTGACTGAAGCTTCTTTAAAATAGGAGATGTTAAAAACTAGGACATGGTTGTTCAAACATACAGTATTTCAATTACAAAATGAAATTGATTCTCTTACACCTTGCTGCATTGTATCATTAGGCTAGCTTGTGGTTGATGAGCAATGTACACTGGCAATATACAGATAAGGGTTTCCATCTAAATGGTTATGTCAGCTCATTTGACAAGCACTGAGCGATGTGCAATGGTTCAAGCAAATTTATTCCCATTATTAAGAATGATTTGAGAGAAAGTACCACCTCCTAGGATTCTTTTTTTTTTTAAATTTATTTATTTGGTACAGAATCTCACTACTCAGGTTGGACGCATACTGAACCTCCTGTGTTCAGCCTTCCCAGTCCTGGGATTACAGGTGTGCACCCCCAGGCCCAGACTTGGTCACAAGTTCAGCCCGCCAGGGGCTGGGGCCAGTGTAGCATGCAGTGCCCAGGATCAAACTCTGGTCCCTACGCTTGCCTAAGCAGGTGCTTAATCCGCTCAGCTATCTCACTGGCCCTTTTTATATCTCCTAAGATTCAAATTGAAGTCTTTTTTTCTCTTATGTATTTTGTACAGGGTCTACAGGGTCTCACTATATAGATCAGACTCATAGTGATTCTCCTGTTTTCAGCCTCCCAAGCACTGGGATTACAGGTCCACCCCACTACGCCCAGCTTCAATCGCCATCTCAGCACACTCCGAGATCGGGGCCGGCATGGCACGCAGGAAATGTAACCCCAACTGCTGCACTCCTCCTAAGCAGGTGCTCTAATCTGCTGAGCATCTGGCCAGTCCTCAAATTGAAGTTTTATACTGGTTTTATGGCTTTATATTCCCGTCCTGAGTCTACACTCTTATCAGTAAATTCATGTGTTTGGGGTTCAGTATTCAGTGGGTGAATGAAAGAGTGAATGAATCTGAACAATATGATAGTTCTTTTATGCAACTTTTAAAAATTTATTTTAAAAAGAAAACATAATAAAACATTTTCAAAACAGGTTAGTAGAAGAGTGACAATAATTAATGTATTTCATACTGTTGTTGTTGTCATCATAGTAGTTATTCAGAGTACAAGATACAAATGTGATATTTTGTCCAAACAACATTTAGTAGAAACTTTTCAATTTAGGAGATCTTAACAGTGTAGGAGTAAAAGCTGTAATTTTTCTTTTTCTTTTTTTAATGCATTTTAGTACAGGGTCCACAAGGTCTCACTACACAAATTGGACTCGTAGTGATCCTCCTGTTTTCAGCCTCCCAAGCACTGGGATTACAGGTGCACAATAACACTCCCAGTTTCAACTGCAGGTTCAGCATGCCCCAAGGGTGGGGTCAGCACAACATGCCAGGGATAGAACCCCCATTGCTGTGCCTGCCTAAGCAGGCACTTTAATCCACTGAGCTATCTGGCTGGCCCTTTATTTTCTGATATTAATCATCATTTACCCCTGTATTAGAATTGCTTTCCTTAGTGCTACAAAAATCTCTTTAAAATATTTACGCGTTTTCATATTATTTAATAGCACGTAGTACATGATTCAGGAACCAGTCTAAGACTATGTCCAGTGATCTGCAAAATGTCAATTAAGAAGCTGAAAGTACTGCAGAAATAACAGAATATATATATATCCTATCAAAGCCTACTTAGACACCCACATAAAGAGTTCTACACATTCTGACTCTAAAATGTCTTACTCTTGGGGGCATGAAGATTTTAGTTTTGATTCAGCACAGAATATTTTCACATTGCTAGAACTCAACAACTATTTGGGGATCAAATAGTCTGACCTTATTCTCCAGTAACCCTTGATCATATTTTTTATGATTGCTCATAAAAACATTAATTGATTTCCTGAGGAATTCATATCATGCATTATTCTTTATTCTGGCTGTTCTGCTATTCATCAGAACTATCCCGCTAACTTTTATGACTCCAATGTGAAAAGTCGACATGTTCAATACTGGAAAACAGCAACAAAATATGG